AGACGGGCCGGCCCCCAGCTGGTGGGCGTCCCCTCTCTGGAAGGCGCTGGGAGGAGGGGATGTAACACATGCGGGAACACTGTGGGGGTGGGGGGGAGGGCCTCCTTTGCCTGGATGCTTGCCTTCAGCTAAATTAAACCCAGAGCTGATTCTCCAGGACTGGCATTTGTACTTGGGACAAAAATAAAAAGAAAGGGCTCGTGGGAGACCGAGTAAAGCTCACACACCTGGCAGATGCCCGCTTTTCCAGGTCCCCTCGTATCTGAGGAGTCCTGGATGCCTCCAAAGCTCAGCTCAAGCCATGGGGGCCAGGGACCATGTACTGCCTCTGGGGTCACTGGGCGGGGGCTCCACGATGGGGCCTGCCAGTTCTGCGTGGGTGGCGAGGGGTGGGAGGCATTACTTTACACCTCCACGGGTGCAGTGGAGCACCGGGCTTGGGGTCACCACGAGCCGAGTTCAAACACTGCCTCAGACCCTCACTAGTGCTGGTCCTGGGCAAATCACTGAACTCCTGTCTGCCTCAGTTCCCTCACTGGTAAAACAGATAATAGCACAAATCTCACGAGCTTGTTTTAAACACTACACGAGATGTTTGTTAAGCGTTTAGCATGGTGCCTGTCACAAAGCAGGGACATAACAATCCTTCCTCCCTCCCTCCTTTCCTTCCTCCCTCCCTCCTCTCTCCCTTCCTCTCTTTCTCCCTTCCTTCCGTCCTCTCTCCCTTCTTTCCTTTCTTCCTCTCTCCCTTCTTTCCTCCCTCCCTTCCTTCCTCTCTCTCTACCTCCTCCATCCGCATAATAAGGGAGGCTGGATCACAGACGGCCTCTAAGACTCTTTCCAATTCTGAACACATACATATACACATACATGTTGTCTCCCATCACAGAATGGAAACTCCGCGAGGGCAGAGTCTGTTTCATTTTTGTCTCTGTATCTTCAGGGCCAAGCACAGGCACGGGCCACTAGGCATCTAATACATGCGCGCTGATCGACTGACTGAGAAAGTCCACATAAAGTTCAACAAAAAAATTCAAGGAGCATTTATTAAGCCCCATACTATGTGCAGGACACTACAGTATTGGGTCCTACTGTGCTAGGACCCTATGACAAATTTAAAATAGAATGTTCATGACTGACTCATTTTAAAGTCTCCTCTCTACCTGGGAAAGCCTAGACCTAAATAAAAGTAAGCTCAGACATTCAACCAGTACTCATTAAGCACCTACTGTGTGTCAGACACTTTTAGACTCTGGCTATACAAAGACAAAACCATCCTTGCTCTCAGGGAGTTTACATTCTTCTGGGAGAAACAGACCCCATGTACATGATCAGTCCGTCCACCAAGCATTCACTCGGACCGAACTGTGCGTTCAGACCGTGCTAGGCACTGGAGATAAGATGCCCTGGCCTCCATGTAAACCCCGCCACGGCTCTGCGTCCGGGCTCAACAGAGGCCCAGTTCCCGGAGCCGTGGTCCACACTGGCTTCTCTTGGGTCCCGACCACAGGCCCGGAGCTGGCGCCTGTGGCCAGGGCACAGCCCAGCCCCTGCTCACCTCATCAGGGGCACCGCTGCCAGGGAAGAAGTTGCCGTCATCGTAGCGATGTAGTGAGATGTACAGCACATTGGGGTCGCTGTAGAAGGCCTGCTGGGTACCATTACCGTGATGTACATCCTGGGGCAGAAAACATGACAAAGGTCAGCGCCTCGACCTGTGGCCGTTCATCCAGGAGAACCTGGCGGCTTCTCAAACCCTAACCTGCCTGCCTCAGGAGAAGCGGGGCACCTGCCCAGGGGGCACAGGCGCTAAGGGCGTGTCAGAGGCAGGGCGGCAGGTGGGGCTGCTTCCTAGAGCCTCCAAAACCCCAGAATCTCTAAGGCAGAAGGAGCCGAGCTGCCACCTCTGGCTCGGCCGTCCCTCCTCCCGGCCGGGCTGCCCAGCTGCCCGGCCAATCCCCTTGTCCCCTCCCTCCCATCTCCTGCTGTGATCACGGGAGGCCCCTGGGCATCAGGAGCCATGGGATGGGGAGGAGCCTCCCAGGGTCTCAGACATATTCTGCACATTTCTTACTCTTATTTAAAAATAAATACAATTATGGTCCTTGGAAGAAAAGCAGAGTAAGTCTGCTCATAGACTGAAGAAAAAGAACCAAGGCCTTTCCCAACTTAATCCTGATAACCCGTTAAGTGGCCCCCGGGTGCGTGAAAGCTCAGACCGATGGGCCCCAAGCAAAGGAGGCTTAACAGCTGCGGCCCGTCCTCTGGTGACAGCCTGGCGTGTGTGTGGGATACGCAGCTGGATGGCTCTTTCACTATCTGTGTGACCTGGGGCCTGGCCCTCAGTTGCCTCATCTGTAAAATGAGGCTGGATCGGCCGGCCTCCTCTGAGGTCCCTTTTGGCCTGATGTCCAGGACCCCACATCTTGGATCCAGGAAGGCCTGGGGTCAAATCCCACCTCTGACACTTAGCAGTGAGACATTAAACCATCAGACATTATTATTGGAGCTCCCATGGCTCAGCAGGCTTTCCCCCACCCAATCCTCCTAGAAATAGCCGGCATTTGCGGAGCATGCTCCAAGCCAGCTCCGAGCCAGGTCACTAATTGACGGCATTGGGAATGAAGCCCAGGGCCCACGATGGCGGGCGGGGGATCCCTGTGAGCTGGCTGACTTCCCACTGATCCTCATCGAAACGTCTGCCATGTTTGGGGGCCGCTCTGAGTGGCCATGTGAGTGGGAACCCCTGCCCAAGCTCTCGGGAGGGACTTTGATGCCCCCAGAGAAGGGCTGAGCTCACAGGTCGATTGAGGCCTCGCGCTGGCAGAGGAGGCAAGTCGAAATGACCAGTGGCCGAGGCTGGCCAGTTAAGGCTGATTAAGGTCGCTGGAGGCCCTGGTGCTCCTGGAAGTAAGACCCTCTGGCCCCAGGGGACCCCAGCGCCAACCCGCCAGAGCTCTGGGGTGGAAGGGTGGGCGTGGTCCTGGGCAAAGTGGGGGCGTGTCCATCAGTGCAGCTGAATCCGCACTATGGGGGGCTGGTGACCTGAGGGCTGGGAAGGGGAGCAGCCCCCTAGGGCTCTGGGTCTCGTGGGCCGGCTCCCAGTTTTCTCAGCCAGGGCCTGCACACGAACCGTCCCCAGGCGCTGAGCGCAGACACTCTTGGGGAAATCCAGAGCAGGGAGACGATGCGGACACGTGGGGGAAACACAGCAAAGGCAGCGTTAGAAAGACGACCTTTGGGGCCGAGACGGCAACGGCAACGTGCATCTCGTAAGAACCAAAGGGAGATGGCACGGCCAAGCGGCTGGTTTTCTGTCTAAGCCCTTGAACATGGAGATCTCAGGGCAAGCATATTGGATGAAAACGGAAGCAGGGGCAGGAGCTTAAGCCCATCCTTCCTAGTTGACATGCCAAGGGGCATCCCCAACCCCAAGCATGCACACATTTGGGGCCACAGGCTGGGAGGGGTGAGACGCTCTCTCTGTCACACCGGCCATGGCTCCCAGGAATGTCCACCACGGTCTGGTCTGCCCCAAACACTTTATCTCCCTCTGGGCCCGCTGTTTCCCCCAAGAGAACCTAAGCTCCCCGAGCGCAGGCTCTTTCATTTCTAACTTTGTGCCCCCGGAGGCTGGCACTCAGTAGGTGCTTAAGAGGTGCCAAGAGACTGAAATTGAATCAGGACCCTCGCTCCCTCCTCTGCTTTCCTCAGCTAGTTCTCCTCCCTAGCAAGCTAAGATTCCCAGACAACAATGCCAGGAAGGAACGTCTTGCCCACATGCACCTTCCAAAATCGAAACTCGGCTGCCCTCCAGGGGCGGAATGCCGGCCGATCTTTTCTTCACTCACCCAGTCCACGATGAGGATCTTGTTCACATTCAGCCTTTGCTGGAGCAGTTTGGCGGCGATTGCCACGGAGTTGAAGTAGCAGAACCCCCTGGGAAAAGAGGCAGGAGAAAGGGAGGGAGAGCAGGGGGTTAGGCAGGGGACCCCCAAGAGGAGAAGGATGTCAGAGGCGGGGCAGCACGGCCACCACTGCCAGCGTCCAGGGTGGCGCTAAGCCCTGGGCCAGGTGCCATGACCCCACCTCCCAAGCAGCACCGGGGGCACCTGCTTCAAAAGCTGAGGTTACGCCCTGCACTGAACATGCAAACCACCCCGCCCCAACCTGTGTCCCCGTACAAATGTCAGAGTTCCTTTTCCTCAAACACCCAAGGAAGATCTGTATCGGTGAGAATCTTCTCCCATCGCCAAGCCTTTGCACGGGCTGGCCCCCATGCCCAGGATGCCCTTTCCTCACTTCCACTTCTTCCAATTCCTTAGTTACTTGAAGCAGCCCCTTCCTTGGGAAGCTTCTGCTGCCCCGGCCCCTCCTGAAGCGGCGCTCCAGCCCCTCCTTCACCTCTTTATAGACAAACAAGTGCATGTCGTCTTCCTGACGGAACAGAACCTCCCCCTCTGCAGGCCCTTTATGACCCGGGGGGGAGGGGTCATGGCCCGTTTCCTCCATGATCAATGCCAGCTTCGGGTCTAGGGGGTTCAGGGCCCCGTCCTGCTCTCCAGGGAGGGTTCGAGGGGTCATCAAGTCTGTTACGGCTGTGGGTTCCTCCTGGACCCCCCAAAAACTCTGGGGGGCACGCCAGAGGCATTCGCATCTCCCATGACCTGGGTAAGTGACTGACTCAGGGTCACCCAGGGAAGACCCCGAGACCAGAGAGGTAACAGCTTCCTCCCGGCCCCACCGAGGCAGCGGCTGAAGCCGGGCCCGCCGCCTGCCGCCCCGTTTCCTTCCTCTTAATTAGAGTCATCTTTACTCGTTCACCCAGACCCTCTCAGCACCTCGAGGACAGTTGGTCACCGAGGGGGAGGGGCCATCCCAATTCTGTCTTGGTGTTCTCGGTGCCCAGCAATGTGCCGGTATACAGCAGGTGCTTAATAACTGCTGGTGGACTGAATCAAGCTGTTGTGCCAATACACAGAGGATGAGACCTTCCGCTGCAGACCTGGACCAGCACCTGGGAGATGGGTCCCCCCCGCAATCCCCAGGGGATACAAGAAGCAGGTTGTGGGGGAGGGCCAGGGAGAAGGAAGTGACCCCATTGCGCTCAGACTGATTTCTCAAGCCCGGCCTGGTCTCTGGCAGGTGTCCAGGCCTGCTGCCCAGGCCAGCTCAAGAGCCGCCAACGCATCTCGGATGGAAGGGGTGCTAGGGGCCGTCTGCCCAGCCCCCTCACTTTCCTGATGGGGACGCTGACACGCAGGGAGGCGAGGTGATGCTGAGTGAGTGACGAGCGCGATCGGCACCCAGTGCCCCAGGCTTCTAAATTCACTTCCAGCAGCGTTTCACCGACCTTTTCCCATCTCACCTTGGAGTTCCCATTTCTGGGGGTCTCCCTCTCCTCTGACCTCTTAACTCTTCCTTTTCTAATTTTGTCCCCGGCTCCGCCCCCGCCGCCCATGACCAAGAGATCTCTGTCTGTCCAGCACCAGTGAGCTCAAGGGAACAGAGGAACTGCAGGGGAGCAGCGCGTGGGGCCCACCCCCCGAGGCTGGACCCAACATGGAGCCAAGGCCACCACGGCCTGGAACCGGGACAGACGGTGCCGGTACTCACATGGGCGTGCTCTCCTCCGCGTGGTGGCCGGGGGGCCGGACGACAGCAAAGCCGTTCTGCAGACCAGAGCAGAGCAGAGGGCCGTCAGAAGGGGGGGACCCAGAGAGACCGTCTACGTACCCAGTCTGGATGTGGCCAGCGCCGATGCCCCGGCTTGTCCAGGGGCTTATTACGCTCACGAGAGGTCACTGGCCTTAGGCATCATCGGCGGGACCCATGCTGTAGAGTCCTGGGCTCTTGGGAGGGTTTACGTGTGCATGCGTGTGGGTGTACATGCGTCCATATGTGTAAGTGTGTAGGGATATACATTGGGAATACAAGTGTTTGTACATGTAGGTGAGTGAACATGTGTGAGCATGTGAAAATGTGTATGAGTGTGTATTTAGCATGTCTGTGAGTGAATATGTGCATGGGTATACAGGTATGTGCATGTGTGAGTGAAAATGTAAGTGTGCATGCATAAATGCCAATATGTGTGTGCATGTGTGTGTAGATGTGTGAGTGAATATGTGAATGTGTGTCTAAATATGTGTGTATGAGTGTGTGCTTGTGACTGTGACTGTGTAGGTGTGTGCACTGTGAGCGTTCATGTTCGTGCATGTGTGTGAGTGAATGTGTATGCATGCGTGTGTGTATGAGTGTAAGTGAATATGTGCATGTGAGCATATGTTTGCAGGTGTGTGCATGTGGGTAGGTATGTGCATGTGTGAATGAAAATATGTGTAAGCGCGTGCGTGTATAAATGCTGATGTGTGCACACATGTGTGTACACGTGTGCATGTTCATAGGTTTTGTGCATATGTGTGTATGAAAAGGTACATGAGAACGTGCATGCATGTTTGTGCATGTGTTTATGCATGTGTGGGTGAATATGTGTACGTGTGTGCACGTGTAAATGTCTATGTGCGCATGTGTATATGTAGGTATGTGCACGTGTGTACGTTTATGTGTGCCTGTGTATGTATGTGAGTGAATATGTGCGTGAGAACATGTACATGTGTGTGCATGTGCTGTGTTTGTGCATGCGTGAGTGAACATGTGTATGTGTGTCCATGTGTAGATGTCTATGTGCATATGTGTGTTATATGCGCATGTGGGCGTGTACGTGTGTGAGTGTGGCTGGGGGATGGCAGAGGTTGCCAAAGTTGTCCTGGACCTTCCTGTTCCACCCAAACCACCTTTAGGCTGGAGCCCGTCGACAGAGAAGCCCGCGTGCCTGTGGGGATGGCCCCTTCTTGAACAAATGGCCCTCCCCGGCCATTTCTCTTTCTTGCCCAGAGACTCTGTTCCCTCAGAGGCCGCAGGGCAGCCACGCGGGGCAGCCGAGGACCGGGAGCCCTGGGGACAAAGGGAATGTCTCGGGAGAGGAGGCCCCCTCCAGCTCCAGCTCTGCCCTTTAGCTTGAGGGGGCCAAGATGCCTTCTTTGTCAGCTAGACTGCAAGCTCCCTGAGGGCAGGGACCCGTTTCCCTTCTCTCAGGGGCACCGAGCCTAGAAGGCAGGTCCTTGATCCATGCGAAAGAATGGCTGGGCCCGGTAAGAAGCGGCACGGGCCGGACACGAGCCATTGGGCCAGAGTCAAGGATCCGCCCCACCCTGGCACAGCGGGACCAGGGAGCTGTCCACACCTGCCCACGCTCCCACCAACCTTCAGCTCTCCAGTGGCCACCTTGAAGACCAGCTCCACCACGCAGCCCACGGCCAGGCGGGCGGCTCCGGAGGAATGCACCTCATTCCAGATGGTGTCACTGTCCACCTGCAGAGACAGAACACAGCGGGTCCTTGGGTGAATGCACCTCGGACGACCGCTACCACATCCCCGAAGAAGTCATGCAGGAGCCGTGGAAGGCGCTCTCTCCAAAAGTACGCTCCTGCCTCCCTCCCCCACCCACCCAGGCCGACGTGGCCCCTCCCCCGGACCCCTCTGCTGGCGAGGTCCCCTCCTGGGCCCTGCACGTGACATGAGGCCGGGACTTTGGGGACGCCTGTACGACTGCGTGCTGTCTCCCCGACAGAACGGCCCTGAGGGCAGGGCTTACTGGCCTTTTCTTTGGACCCCCCAAACTTGGCACAGCGCCTGGCACACAGTAGGTGCTTAATAAATGCCTCTTGCCAGCCCAGCACTGGCCACCTTCTCCTTTGTCCTCTAGGGACTTGGCCCCGTGTTTTCATCCCTACTCTTGGAGTCACGTCTTCTCAGATCCCCCTAGCGTGGAGAGGTGTGGCTTCTGACACGCAGGCTCTGGGCCCGGCCCTGGAGAGGCGAAGCCCAGGAGGAAATGGGCTCCGCCCTCGCAGAGTGTTCGCTGTTCCGCACGCTGACCCAGGCCTGCCGGGCAGGAAGTGCCTCGTCATGGCTGTCCTCTCCACCCCTCCCCCGTTTTTTGTACTGAGGGAGGGCTCGCTGATCAGGAAGGAGGAGGGAAGAACAAAGGAGATGGATGATTTGAATAAAAAAGGAAAGAAGAAAACCAGGAAGAGATCATTCTTTCCTTTCCGTTTGTTTTCTAGTCTGGATGCGTATTTCACCATGCATAAGGCCTTCTCCTAATGCAGACTGGCGCCCCCTTGGAAGCCAAGGGTCTCTGAGAGCGGCCCCGAGCCTGACACCAGCCCAGGGTCACGAGGCTGGACGTGGCAGACGTCCCTGACATGGAGGCCCGAGCTGCAGCCATTTTGCCAGGGTGTTGTCTGTCTCCGTGCAGGCGCTTCTAACCCAAGGTCAGAGGCTCAAGTGGGTGGGAATGTCAGGAGTCCTTCTTCCTGCAGAAATAAAATACTGTTCTGGCCTCCATGAGGGTGACGGTCAGAGGGTGCAGGTTGTGGCCCTTGGGTCTTCCTGACAGCCTGACTGCCGGCCAGACATGGGCTGGATTCTGGGGGAGAAGGCGGTCAGCTAACTCCCGGTTTTCCAACATCCAAGCTCACATCCATCCACATGCAATCCACCGAGGTGAGGTTTTCTTGCTGGGCCAAAGGCCACTGTGTCACCCGTACCTGCAGACGTCTCCAGGGCTCGCTTGTGGCCGCACCGGTAAATGCTGGTTGGCACAGAGGGACAGAGGTCCAGGGGTCTTTGGGAGAGAACCCTGGGGAAAGGCCAGAGCAGCAGAGAGGTCCACGGGAGAACAAGACAAAACATGGAAGTCTCCTCTGACCCACAGGCAGGAGCAGAGACCTTGGGGCGCAGCTGGTGGCGTGGGTCTGCCTGAGGGGAGCCCCGAGTCTCTCTTGGCACCACAGAGGCAGCCTCAGTGGGAGGCAGGGCCGACCCCCTCAGAGGGCTTCCACGTGTCCAACGCGCACTCTGTTCATGACGGTGGAGTGAGAGCACAGAGGGCCCCTATGCCCCCCGGAGTGCCAGCCTTCATGGTCCAGGGTTCACTCTCTGACCAAGGGGCCTCCCCCTCCCTCGTGATGTGTAGCCGGGAACGAGAGGAGGAAGGGCTACTCTCCCTGAGGCCCCAGATGACCTGGAGGAATCGCCCAGCTGGGGACGCCCCCTCTGCTAGGATCTCCCTGGCGATGCTCAGACGGAGGCCCCGGGAGCCTGGAAGCAGGTGGAGCCCCCACCTCCCGGGATCAGAGCAGACAATCTCTGCCGGCGCTCAGCGCAGGGCCCGTGGTCAGTGCCCACCATCGCTGGCTCTTCTGCCTGGCGCTCGGTCCCCTGCGCCATCCGGCTCCCGCTGACGAAAAGAACCTCATTCAGGGGCATGAGGCCCGCCTTTGCCTCCAACTGCCCATGTGACTTGGCACTCCATTTCCCCTGGCCTCAGTTTCTTGCTCTGAAATGAGCTGGTTGACCTCGATGGTCCTCAAGGTCCCTTCCAGCCCCAAACCTGTGATTCTGTGATCTGTGAATCTCATCACATGGCCTACGTCTGATGGCCAGCTCTGGCCACATGACCTCAAGCAAGCTGCCTCACTACCCCAAGCCTCAGTTTTCTCTTCTGTAAAATGGGACACCCCCTGCTCTTCCTCTGTAGGAAGGGGCATGGTGTCAAGTAGCCTGGGCCAATGCCTAAACATGACGGAGAGAATACAGGATCAGCCCTGGCGCAGGCTGGCCACGGGATCCTGGCCCTTAGCCTCCGGGGCCTCTGGGCGACTGCAGAGAAGGCGGAGGCGCCCTCCTCACCTGGGAGCTCCTGGGGCCCAGGGTTTGTCCTCCATCTATCCCTAAAGGCCTGAGCTCCAGACCCACCTCTGACCCACACTGGTCACAGAACCACGAGTCTCTCCCTGCTCTGGGCCACATTCCACGTGGTCGAGGAGTGCAAACCTGCACCGGTGGATAGGCTTCCCATGGGAGTTCCGGACAGTCCCTATCCCTGAATGTTTATTATGACTGGGACTGACATCAAGTATAGAGGGTCCCTTCTGCAGCACTCAAGGCATTCAAAAGCTAAACCAGCCCCAAGACCCCCACGTGGCCCATTCGAAGAAGTGGTCTTCTGATTCTGGGTCCTGCCTGTTGTTTTAGATCTAGCCCCTGTGCCTCAGTTTACCTGCTGTGCCCCTTATTAACATTCAGTTTTCATTTGCAAATTGCACACGTGGCTTTGCATGTTCCCTTCCCACCCTGAGCATAAATGCAAACCTTTTCAAGTCTGGCCAGAAATGCCCTGAATTAAGAGGCTGCAGCCGCACATCCAGGGACCAAGCCATGCCCCGCTCCCTCCGGGTGCTCGGTGGTGGAGTGAGGGACGGCCACTTGGGCTCTTTTTGACGGGATAATTTTCAAAGCAGCGATTTTGTCAAGACTCAGGAAGAAAACAATTTTGTCTCATTTCCCTAACAGAATCCAGACTTGTGGCTGCAGCCTTCCCATCTGTAATTATGCCTTCAGCTCCCACCCCGCGAGCTCCGCTGCACAATGTGTCTTGTTGTCGGCATGCTTGGACCAGGGCAGCCGCCCTCTCTAGGAAGAAGGCGGGGAAGGACCCCGACCAGGCGGAGATGAGATGAGGCAGGGAACCATCCAGGGCAGACTCAGACATTGATGCTGGTGCTGCTGATAGATGAATGGATGAATGGATGGATGGATGGAAGGACGGATGTACGGACGTGAGGTGGGGGTACTGTCCACGGCATTGATGGCTGGATGTATGGATGGGAGTGAGGCAGGGGACCATCCAGGGCAGACTCAGACCATGATGCTGGTGCTGATGACGGAAGGATGGACAGACGGACGGATGTGAGTTGGGGGGACAGTCCAGGGCAGACTCAGAGAGTGATGTCAGTACTGATGGATG